ACGGTGGATGATACACCATCTCCCAAGTTTCCCGGCCCCCCATCGATCGCATCTCTATCACATTCCGAGAACTCCCCGACAGCGTCAAAGAATGATTCTGCGCCACATTCTCCAGGTAGGATTCCACTCGCCACTTACCTGCGCTATCAAATCTAACGTTGCTCAGTTGTAAAGGCACGGAAGATACCTCACTCCGCAAATGAGGCCAGCGCCCAGGATCTCTTGATACTCGAAATGAGGGATGCTGGCGAGCCTTGGCCGAAGATAAATGCGGCGTTTGAGAAGCTTACTGGACATAAGCCAAGCGGTGCTGCACTACAGAAGCGCTACAGACGTATGAAGAGCAACTTCAGCCAAGCCAGCTCCAAATTGCAGGGCGTAGCTGACTCAAATGCCGATGCTGGAGGGGCCTCACAGGACCACACGACAAACTCAACACACTCCGCGGGAGATTTCATTTCTCTCGAATCTGAAATCGAGTCGAAGAAAACAGCAATCAGTTCGACCAGCGATAGCCCGAAAGGTCCCGTCGACCTCGGATCATTAGCGCAAAGATTCAATTGCTACGATGAGGAGTCGCTACGCGATATCATACTTACCTCACGATTCCTCAATCCTTGGGCTGAATTTCGAGATCTCTTTCTCCTTACTGGAAACCCTTGCGGACCGCCCTACCGCGTCACCGCAGAGCTAGAGCGTACTACGCTAGGATACGTCAAAGAGGTTGGAGCGTCGCCTTATGATTGGCCCGACGAGGACGAAGTCAGGCGCTGGGGGGCCCTTGAACACTACGGATGCATCATCTACAAGATCTATAGGACCTTCGCAGCCAAATTGGGTCCGCTGCATAACGCCTTCCGGGGGAAGAATGGACTCGAGGCCGTACAGAACGTGGCTACGCTTGTCTACTACGTGGAAAAGGAGTACTATGAAGCGTTCCAATCTAGGCCTTCTGAGCTTGTTCGAGGCATTGAAGAGCGGAAGCCTACCAAGATTCCACGCCTATCGCCCATTCCGTATGTGAGAGCTCTCGAGCGACTTGGAGGCAACACCACGGAGAATGTCCGCCATTACACATCAATGACTGCGGAGAGGTGGCTTAACAAGTTGACGGATAAAAAAGAACTCCTGCGATTTGTCACGGATGAGGAGACGCTGGTGGAAGAGATACCGATCACAGACTTGAAGCAATTCGCCCTGAAGGTCCTCATGCGCACGGTAGAGGGGACCAACGACAGGGGGGTGCTCTACGACTTGATTGAAGGTAATCCCACAGAAGTAGAAGAACTGAAGGAACTTGCATTGAGGACGCTTCCGGGCCGACTTGCGAGTGTGCTGGATAAGGCTAAGTTGATTGCTTTCATCAAGGAGCATGACTTGGAGGATGAAGACGACGGGGCTGGGATGGTAGTCATGTCTCTGTCGACCGTTCTGCCGGGCTCTCGGATTGCGGAGGCGATGTCGAATTTGATGGATGTGGATTGAAGAGCGTGATGGAGGTAGTTATCCTAGGGTCCAAATTCGGTGCGCGCTAGGCAGATCGTGCTCGATCGACCCGAACATCTAAGGTTCACCGGCCTGGTGCGTGGTATTACTGGAACCTTTGGGACTAAGTCAGTTTGAGGTTCCTTCGAGGGATGAGCGGAGTTACCTTTTCATTTCACTTCACTTCAGTTTCATCTTAGCTACCTTGGATCAGTCTATTACTCTCATCTCGGTGATCTTCTATTTCCCCGTTTACCACTCTCATATTGTTAAAGCGATAGTCGACTCATAGTTTCATAGAATCTCATATGACTGCATAACTTCATTCGAGCTCACGCTTGACCTCAATTCCGTTTCCTTCCTCCGCCATCTTGGTTAGCTATCTCCCCCCTACTATATCACTCCAAGCTAATTATTGTCTAGAGCTCGTGGTCATTTTGTGCACGACTCTTCACAACCACCAACATGGCCATCAAACCAGCACCTGCGGAGTTCGGAGTCAAGACTGAAGCAGAACTGCTGAGAATGATTCTATCCAGGAGCGTCATGCTTCCATGGGTACAGTTCCGCGACAATAACCCGCAATTACTCCGAGTTGGACACCATGTCCCCGGACCCCACACTCCGATCAACAACACAAACAAGTCGCTATCACTGGTCATGGCAGCCTTGCAAACGACTGCAGCGTCGATTTATGACTGGCCTGAGGACAGCGAGATTTCCAAGTGGACCGTTCAAACCCATTTCGAGTGCCTAGTGTACAAGACATGCAAAAATCTCGCTCAGCCCAATGAGCCTTTCGAAAAGCCTTTCGCGAACGCGTGGCCGCGCTGTGACACCAAGGCATACGATGCGAGAGTCGTAAAGGTCACGTCGGTCATGAGACTGGCGTCATACCTGATTCGCTCATATGCTGAGTCGTTCGATCGAAAGGAGCCCGTGCCTATTGTTCAGCGCATGGAGGATGTCTACCCAACTGCCAATTTGGAGCACTCCCCAACATTCTCCGTCCGGCGCCAGGCAGAACTTGGGAAGGCAAGCCGAAAGGACTTGATCGTCACTGTTACTCAGCTGCTCTCCGAAGTAGCCACTAAACAAGAGCTCATCGACTATATTATGAAGATGGAAGCGATCAAACAAACTCAGCCGAGCCCGACGGTCGATCTCACACTGATCAAGAAAGACCCGAAAACCTAGGACGTTCTCGCGGTTCCTCATACCCAACGAGCAAAAGACTTCGGACGTGACTTTGAAGGAAATGGCGTCACAGCCACGGCGAATCTGACTCACGAAAATTTTCACCACCTAATTCGATCCAATCTTTCGGCATTTCTATACGATCAGACAAGTTCCGACACCCACAGAGTTATGCATGATCCCATCTCGCCGTCCGCAAAATCCCCGATACCAAATGAGCCACCAGCAACACGGAGGAGAGTAGCACAGCGTACGGAGACTTGGGGCACATTTCCTCTTTTCTAATATTTGATCATTGATCTGAAGATCCATATTTTCCCTTTCACACAATTTTCCAATGCTCAAAAGTATGCTATCAATTTCAATAATTTGGGTGTACTTCTGCGCTTCCTTGCCCAAAGATACCGGCCATATTTTCACGATCATTGCAACCCAGCATCTACGGAAGCAGCCCCCAAAGCATACTCCATCTCTCCTCTTCCATCATCCAAAGCAAAATCTTCTCGGAGATCTCTCATAGCACGGCGAGTCTTTAAATTGGTACAAGTGCCTCTCATTCAGTCTTCTGCATCCCCGAGGCCGTCACTCTTTATTCTTCTTTATGACAAAAGCGATACCGAGATAGCTGAAATCCAATGCAAATTTCTGCAGATCTTACAGTTCCCTTATCAGACGATGATGCTTCCAAACCCTTATGTTCATTCCCGGAAACTAGGTCGCACGTCCACTCCCCTTTGACTTTCAAACTATGCGTACCCTGTCTGAGCTGCTCGATAGCTCCTCGATCACAAGCGGCTTTGCTCGAGTATTGTGAGTCGCCTAGCTTTGCCCACGAGAACCCGTTCAGGCTTCATGAGATCGGGAAACAGCATAAAGACTTAATCCGAGTTCTCGCAATGTTGAAGCCATTGTTGGCTGGCCCTGGCCCTGAAAGGACAAGTTTCCTGAGAAAGCCTATAAGCTGACTTCATAGACATATCACAACGCTGTGAATATCGAGGTGGCTGATGCGAAGAAGAACGTGACTGCGGGGATCGTAATATCCGGTGATATGAAGAAGGCGGACGATACCGTGGAGCTCGAGAAGGGCCTCGGAGTTTGCACGAGGGCTGAAATGATAAGAACTGGTGGGTTAGATGTTGTGAATCCACTACTTATCAGTTCTACTGGTGAATATGCAACCTTACCTGGACCGCAGGAGCAAGTTCCGAGTAAATACGTCATGATTGGGTGCGTTGCGGAAGCGTGATGCAATGGACTGCGCTAAGTCTGTATCCATACGTACAGCAAATAACACTTGTCCGAAATGATAACACAAATTTGAGCTTGGATCGAGGCACCTTAAGCGTCGGTGAAAGAGTATACACATATCCATGATTGGCGAATGTAGCTCTTTCAACTCCGTCAGGTTATGCCGCAAGGTTGTTCATCGACTGCCAGCGCTCGCCGCTCGGTGGGCAAGAAGAAAGATATTCGCTCGGAAGATGGCAAACTAAGTGAACGACCCCAGGCCCTGGTATCTGAAGTGAGCGACGGTTCCTTCTGCAGTCTTCGAATCTCAATGCGGCCTCCCGATCTTTGTCTTAAGCCTTACACTATATTTCAGATTCTCCAGACAGAAGCTCTCTTCTTGATTGTTGTGGGGACGAATCTCGCTCTTGAATACTGCGTTGTGAATCTTGATTATGTCGAGGACGAATATCACCTACAACCGACTCCCGTTTATCGTCACGGACAGTACATCTACGGCCTCTCCAGCTTACGGATACATAGCTTAGTGAGACATTAAGCTTAATAATGCCCGCGTTGAAGACGTCTATATACGTATCGAGAAGATGCGAAGCAAACTATTAGTAGTTCTATCCACGACTTTGACGAGCACACTCGCAAGTCCGCATAGTGCATTTACAGGTCCAAAAGTTATATGTGGAGGTTCCTGGGATATCTGCAAGTTTCGAAGAAGGCTCTAGACACTAGGGTTCCGCTGGCTTCCTGGGGTGGGGGGTCGTTGGATGGTCGTTGGCACGAAAGGAGGCTGAGGTTCGCTTTCGAAAGGTTATGCGGAAAAGTAGAGGCAACTCGCTAAAAGCTAAGGCTCTCTACTTAATAGACAAGGTTGGACACCCCGAATCGTGCTCTAACCCACTTCAGCGAAGCCGCTAGAGTCGGGCTGCGTCCCAATCCTCTTTCATTCGCTAATCCCTGTGTCACCCCGTCCCCACCCACACCTCATCTACCCCACCACACAAATATCCCTCCTGCCCCTCTTTTCAAGAACCTATATTAACAGCATAATTCTCACCGCCCTCAAAATCACCGGGCGCTTGGTCTAGGGGTATGATTGTAAGCTCATCACAAAATCTCCCACAAATTCCTCAACTAACCACCTATAGTTCGCTTCGCATCTTCTCGATACGTATATGTGAAAGGTCGTGGGTTCAATTCCCACAGCGTCCAGATCATTATCTTTTTTGCCCTTGCGATGCATAGGCGTGTTCTTTTTTGGTGTTGAGATGAGGTGGGAGACGGAGGAGGGGAGCTGGGACCTCTGGGCGGCTTTTTTTTGGGCGAGGTCATGGTTGAATAGCGGCCAAAACATTGCGGGAAGACGAATGCGTTAGGCGTAAGTTGCTGGAGATAACACGACGTTGGGATAGTGTCATTTGATTGAGTGCTGCTTCACTGATGGGTTGGGGGTGGGTGAATTGGAGCTCAACCATTTCTTTTTTCATTAGGCGATTGAGCTGGGCCATAAGTCAGTTGTAGCGATTCACCGGATTGCTGGAGGATCTATCTGATGACTAGCTGAATGGTTGCATCAACAAAAGGGTTTGGAGACTTGAGACGCCTGCATTTGAAGTTGATACCGAAAGACGGAGTCTACTCCTTCCTATTCGCGACCAAGGCTTTCTCCCTCATCCTGAAGACATTCGTTCGTGTTTCCCCTAGAGCGGGTGTTATTAGGATCACAAGTGAGTGCTTTAGAATGTATATAGGTTTCATGAGTTTAAAGACAGATTGGTAGCATGTTTGCGGCTCGAAACTCGCTTGAAGCTACTTGTCTCACAAGCAACCGCGAGAGCCCCATGCAACACAAGTCAGAATCGTACACAATCACATAATATCTTAAGTTCAGAGAAGTTCATTTCAATTCCCATATCGTACTCATAAAGCTAGCTCAAGTCGAGCCGGTGCCAACCCTCCATCATCATCGATAGAGCACACTGCTCTTAGGAGCATGACCACTTCATTCCCGTCACTCCTGCTTCCCCCTTTCCTTCCATGCTCATTTCTTACTCGTCTTCTCCTCCGCAGCCTTCGCGAGGATATGCGTTGGGTTGCTCTCCAGCCCCGCCAACTCCTCCTTCGCGTTGCCCTGGTCAGCCGCGCCCTGGTCGTTCGGCTTGGAATTCGCGTCTTGCTGCTGAGCACCGGTCTGGGTCTCGGGCTCGGGGGACTGGCGGCCGGCGTTGGGTGCGGACATCTTGGTGGTTTAGATTGTGGAATGGGTTGGTTTGGATTGTAGGTCTACGAAAGAGCGTTAGCCTTGATGTCTCGTTGAGAATGGTTTAAGTATGAAGTCTAAGCAGAGGAGAGGAAGGACAGATATCGAAGTCATAGTGAATAATGATGTAAACGTACTGTAGTGTAGAAGCGTAAGATTCTAAGACGAACACGAGTCAGCTTCTACTCAATTGAACACCTTCAGAACTCTTGATAGACTCACCCGATGATTCTCAAGTCGTGGACAGGTTTGATGTAAAATCCACGAGACTCCAGCGCGCCCCGCGCTTTATTGCCCCTCCTGCTCTTTTTGACGTCATCCCCAACCAGGTCTTGGCAGCGACGTTTCGGGCATCTTTGCAGAGCACCCTGCACATCACGTCAAGCTCTCCATCATCGGAACAACTAGGTCGCGCTGACAGAGCAAAGTGTGGGTTTCGCATGTGAGTGTCGGTCATCTTCTCGCATGAGGTTGGACAAGATTACGCCAGATGTTCTATGCACAATCTCGATGCGCGCGACATGGCATTTCAATCATGGGATTTCGAAGGTCTAATATATGCATGTACTATTCCGATAGCGCCTGTTTTCCCATACTCCCATAGTCTCGTACTCCAATGTCAATCAGCTCATCTTCCCCATCTCAACGTCCCCTTCTCCTAGATCATCGTCGTCGTCCCAGCCTGATGATCCTACTCTTCTCCCAACCCAAATCCCTAGCACGGTCAATGCACCAACAGCGAGGAACCAGCCCTCGAACCACCTTTCGGTAAAAGCAGGTTCAAGAGGCGCTCCCAAAGCATCCGAAATCACGCTGCGCACTTCGCTGGGAAGATTACTGCGCAAAAGTAGTGCAGAGCTAATGACGTAAGTCGCGCTGATTTGAGAAACGAGCAGTGCCATATTGGCTTGAGCGTGCTGGAGTATACCCGGCACGATCCGAGCGAAGAGGAGGAAGGTCTGGAGGACGCTATTGAAGGAGGCTAGGAGCATAACGCCGGAGAGGAGGAAGGAGATCTGGCGGCTCCATGCGACACGGTCAAGCGTAGGGTCCCAGTGCTTAGCTAGGATCGCGAGCACGTTGTTGATCGGATCGCTGTTCGAGAAACTAGTATTCGGTGATGAGAACCGGCGAATGGTGGTATAGGTGGTGGCAGATAGGCGGTAGAGACAATACAGAGAAAAGACGTAGGAGAATAGATTTAAGAGTCGTCCGTAAGGCGTATGAGCCCGTAATTGGGCCTGTCTCCGGTTTTGTAGCGTGAAGAGCGAGTTTGAAAGCGCAGTCCGCATCGTCTCAAGCCCAGCTATCTCCAATTCGAGTGTCTTCCGCTCCTGGACGTCCGAATTTCCGCGGATGCTCCCAACCATGCGTGTCATGAACCCCTCTTGGGGTTGATCGGATAGCTTCCGTTGGATAGCTCGAAGACGGCTCTCCTTCGTGAGGAGCATTTCGTTAGTCGCATCCAACCCAGCTTGCTTTCGAGCAAGAACAGCTTCAGTCACCTAGTATCCTGTCAGCAAGCTATACAGGATTCCAAGACTGCATTGCATAGCACTCACCAGACGAAACTTCACCCCAAAAGTCTGCCACAACGAACTCACCGCCGCAAACCCAGCCAACGACGCCATGAGGCTAACCCCAATGATGCCAATCCGCTCCAAACATCCCTCGCTAACACTGTGATCCCGAATGTACGACTCCTCATGCAGATACGACCCCAGTAGCGCCCGCCCAAGATACCAGAACCCAAGCAGCCATGTCGCCAACCCCACTCCTTCCAAAGCCCAAGCTGTCCTAAGGTGTCCCTTCCGGCCCTCGCCAAAGCTCCATCCTGCCGCTGATATGACCGAGTGTATCTCCAACGCCGGCGTCGCGATGATAAGGAGGAAGAGGAGCGAGGGAAGCGTGATCTTCAAGGCCAGGCTGCGCGCAGCGGGATTGACGGTGTTCGAGATTTCGCATAGTAACAGCTCTACTAGCACAGCCGAGAGCGCAATGTTGGTCGAGAAGACTATCCCCGCGAGACTACGAGCCGTAAATCGCTTCAGTCGTGTCTGGACAGACGGTCGTTCCGGAAAGTTGTATGTCGACGTTGGTAACTGCGCATCATGCTGTTTACGAGCCGCTTGCCCAGACAGCAGCGGGAACAGCTTATGGGACACTGCGGTCGCGACGATGAGGAACGTGAGGATAAATGGCAGGAAAGAGAAGGCTAGGGCGGACAGCTTGCGCTGCTTGACATAGTCCGGCACGCAGTCATCGCAGTCGTTGGAGGGGAGCATATGGCGGGTGGTGCGGGAGCGAAGGGCGGGCGATGATTAGGAATCCAGGTCGGAGGCGTGGATTCGAGCAGTTCCCATTGATTCTAGCGGTCGGTAGGCACATGTATTGATCATGACAGAGTGTCAAGTGGCAGTGAAGGTAATACGGGTAACCTTGCATGACGCCTCGCGGAAGGAACGCGGCATTGTCTTATCCTCCGTATCGCAAGTGGTAGGGGAGGTCCCCGCAATTCGTCACCAGCAAAATAAAGTCACGTCAGGAACAAGCAGTGAGCGTCGTAGGCTCCCATTGTTTCATGATTGAGACTGGGTATTCATTACGGCCGTCAACATCGTGTCAACGTGCTAATGGACTAACAATTCAATCCGAGCCGACCTGCCCAAGACTTTAGTGATGACACCGTGAATCCGTCCCATTAAACCATCTGTGCCAGTGGAATAATATCCAGTTCGTCAAAGCTCGCCAAGGTTGGCCTGGCGTATGATTCAGATGGTCGTTGGTGTATCGTCTGGCTCCACGAACTCTGCTGAAGTTCTCTCCGCAGCCTTGGAAGCAGCTGGCTTCGCGGACTCGTCAGGAGAATCTTCAGGGTCCATTGGAACGCCTCCTTCGGGACCATTTTCATCGTCGCTGCTGCTGACGTCGCTCAATGGTGGACTTTCTAGATTCTGTAAATGGGGGCTCTTCATGACAACTCCTTGATCTCGGAAATCGTCCGGTGAAAAATCACCCTCATGTTCACTTCTTAGCTCGGGCGAATCCAGACTTCCAGGGGCAGTCTGGACATGTGCTAGCGGGTGAACAGTCTCTCGAGGAGGCTTGTATCCAATGGCTGCAGCGACCGCACCAGCCTCATCATCCGACGCTGGCAGATTCTCCTCCTCGATGAAACTATTTCTATGGTTCATATTGAGGATGTGGCCTGTCGTAGGAGCCGCCTTGTCCAAAATGTCCTTGTACGCATGGCGTCCATCAGCCTTGCGCTTCTGTTTCGCCTTATCTCGTTTGGTGCTCGGTCGAACGACAATGACCGGAACCGGAGAGTGCTGTAGACAGTATTTCGACACTGAACCTGGTAGCAAGCCCTGAAAACCGCCCAGACTTCGACCACGAGTGCCAACAACGAGAATCGCTGGCTCGTAGAGATTGATCTACGCAATTAGCTACGTTTCAACAGGTACCGAATCAGACATACCATTTCGTCAATGACCTTGTTCACCTTCCCCAAGGAGAACTCCAATATCAGATTGATAGCCTTATTGTCCTCATTCTTAGTTTGAATGTGCTTCATCAGTAGCTCGGCCTCCTTGCGGTATTTGCCAGTCTCGATACTGGAGTCTGCTGCGACCTTTGAGTCCAGTTCCACCACCCGCAGACACACAATCTCGTCTCCATCGTCGACCAGTTCGTCGATGAGCCATTGCAGCGCGTACTCGGAGTAGTCATTGGAGTCTAATCCGCACAGAAACGTCCGCGAGCGCTTCGTGTATTCGTAGTCTTTGTGTTTCGTGATCAGAGTGAATGAATTCTCTTCTATGAAGTCTGCAGGTCGGTCGAAGGTGTCAAAAGAGACTCGGGGCTGGAAAAGACTAGACAGGCTATTAGTATGGTCCAATTGAGCGCAGCGCGAGAAAAGCGGCAGGCAAGACGCCAATATATGTATCTC